TGCCTGTGATGTAGTTGATCTATGAGCCATGTTAAAGAAGGGTGAAGGAGTGTGCTTGTGATGTAGTTGATCTATGAGCCATGTTAATGAAGGGTGAAGCAGTGTGCCTCTGATGTAGTTGATCTATGAGCCATGTTAATAAACGGTGAAGAGTGTGCCTGTGATGTAGTTGATCTATGAGCCATGTTAAAGATGGTTGAAGAGTGTGCCTGTGATGTAGTTGATCTATGAGCCATGTTAATGAAGGGTGAAGGAGTGTGCCTGTGATGTAGTTGATCTATGAGCCATGTTAAAGAAGGGTGAAGGAGTGTGCCTGTGATGTAGTTGATCTATGAGCCATGTTAATGAAAGGTGAAGGAGTGTGCCTGTGATGTAGTTGATCTATGAGCCAAGTTAATGAAGGGTGAAGGAGAAAGTTGATCCATGTGTGATGTAGTTGATCTATGAGCCATGTCAAAGAAGGGTGAAGGAGTGTGCCTGTGATAGTTGATCTATGAGCCATGTCAAAGAAGGGTGAATGAGTGCCTGTGATGTGTTGATCTTTGAGCCATGTTAAAGAAGGGCGAAGGAGTGTGCCTGTGATGAAGTGATCTATGAGCCATGTTAATGAAGGGTGAAGGAGTGTGCCTGTGATGAAGTTGATCTATGAGCCATGTTAAAAGAAACGTGAAGTAGTGTGCCTGTGATGTAGTTGATCTATGAGCCATGTTAATGAAGGGTGAAGGAATGTGCCTGTGATGTAGTTGATCTATGAGCCATGTAAATGAAGGGTAAAGGAGTGTGCCTGTGATGTAGTTGATCTATGAGCCATGTTAAAGAAGGATGAAGGAGTGTGCCTGTGATGTTGTTGATCTATGAGCCATGTTAATGAAGGGTGAAGGAGTGTGCCTGTGATGTAGTTGATCTATGAGCCATGTTATTGAAGGGAGAAGGAATGTGCCTGTGATGTAGTTGATCTATAAGCCATGTTAAAGAAGGGTGAAGGAGTGTGCCTGTGATGTAGTTGATCTATGAGCCATGTTAATGAAAGGTGAAGGACTGTGCCTGTGATGTAGTTGACCTATGAGCCATGTTAATGAAAGGTGAAGGAGTGTGCCTGTTATGTTGTTGATCTTTGAGCCGTGTTAAAGATGGATGAAGGGGTGTTCCTGTGATGTAGTTGATCTATGAGCCACGTTAATGAAGGGTGAAGGAGGTTGCCTGTGATGTAGTTGATCCATGAGCCAAGTTAAAGAAGGGTGAAGGAGTGTGCCTGTGATGTAGTTGATCTATGAGCCATGTTAATGAAGAGTGTAGGAATGTGCCTGTGATATAGTTGATCTATGAGCCATGTTAAAGAAGGGTGAAGGAATGTGCCTGTGATGTAGTTGATCTATGAGCCATGTTAATGAAGAGTGTAGGAATGTGCCTGTGATATAGTTGATCTATGAGCCATGTTAAAGAAGGGTGAAGGAATGTGCCTGTGATGAAGTTGATCTATGAGCCATGTTAAAGAAGGGTGAAGGAGTGTGCCTGTGATGTAGTTGATCTATGAGCCATGTTAATTCAGGGTGAAGGAATGTGCCTGTGATGTAGTTGATCTATGAGCCATGTTAAAGAAGGGTGAAGGAGTGTGCCTGTGATGTAGTTGATCTATGAGCCATGTTATTGAAGGGAGACGGAATGTGCCTGTGATGTAGTTGATCTATAAGCCATGTTAAAGAAGGGTGAAGGAGTGTGCCTGTGATGTAGTTGATCTATGAGCCATGTTAATGAAAGGTGAAGGAGTGTGCCTGTGATGTAGTTGATCTATGAGCCATGTTAATGAAAGGTGAAGGAGTGTGCCTGTTATGTTGTTGATCTTTGAGCCGTGTTAAAGATGGATGAAGGGGTGTTCCTGTGATGTAGTTGATCTATGAGCCATGTTAATGAAGGGTGAAGGAGTTTGCCTGTGATGTAGTTGATCCATGAGCCAAGTTAATGAAGGTTGAAGGAGTGTGCTTCTGATGTAGTTGATCTATGCGCCATGTTAATGAAAGGTGAAGGAGTGTGCCTGTTATGTTGTTGATCTATGAGCCGTGTTAAAGATGGATGAAGGGGTGTTCCTGTGATGTAGTTGATGTATGAGCTATGTTAAAGAAGGGTGAAGGAGTGTGCCTGTGATGTAGTTGATCTATGAGCCATGTTAAAGAAGGGTGAAGGAGTGTGCCTGTGATGTAGTTGATCTATGAGCCATGTTAAAGTAGGGTGAAGGAGTGTGCCTGTGATGTAGTTGATCTATGAGCCATGTTAATGAAGGGTGAAGGTGTGTGCCTGTGATGTAGTTGATCTATGAGCCATGTTAAAGAAGGGTGAAGGAGTGTGCCTGTGATGTAGTTGATCTATGAGCCATGTTAATGAAGGGTGAAGGAGTGTGCCTGTGATGTAGTTGATCTATGAGCCATGTTAATGAAGGGTGAAGGAGTGTGCCTGTGATGTAGTTGATCTATGAGCCATGTTAATTAAGGGTGAAGGTATGTGCCTGTGATGTAGTTGATCTATGAGCCATGTTATTGAAGGGAGAAGGAATGTGCCTGTGATGTAGTTGTTCTATGAGCCATGTTAATAAAGGGTGAAGGAATGTGCCTGTGATGTAGTTGATCTATGAGCCATGTTAGTGAAGGGTGAAGGAGTGTGCCTGTGATGTAGTTGATCTATGAGCCATGTTAATGAAAGGTGAAGGAGTGTGCCTGTGATGTAGTTGATCTTTGAGCCGTGTTAAAGATGGATGAAGGAGTGTTCCTGTGATGTAGTTGATCTATGAGCCATGTTAATGAAGGGTGAAGGAGTGTGCCTGTGATGTAGTTGATCTATGAGCCATGTTAAAGAAGGGTAAAGGATTGTGCTTGTGATGTAGTTGATCTATGAGCCATGTTAAAGAAGGTTTAAGGAGTGTGCCTGTGATGTAGTTGATCTATGAGCCATGTTAATGAAGAGTGAAGGAATGTGCCTGTGATGTAGTTGATCTATGAGCCATGTTAATGAAGAGTGTAGGAATGTGCCTGTGATGTAGTTGATCTATGAGTCATGTTAAAGAAGGGTGAAGGAGTGTGCCTGTGATGTAGTTGATCTATGAGCCATGTTAATGAAGAGTGTAGGAATGTGCCTGTGATGTAGTTGATCTATGAGTCATGTTAAAGAAGGGTGAAGGAGTGTGCCTGTGATGTAGTTGATCTATGAGCTATGTTAATGAATGGTGAAGGAGTGTGCCTGTGATGTAGTTGATCTTTGAGCCGTGTTAAAGATGGATGAAGGAGTGTGCCTGTGATGTAGTTGATCTATGAGCCATGTTAAAGAAGGGTGAAGGAGTGTGGTTGTGATGTAGTTGATCTATGAGCCATGTTACTGAAGGGTGAAGGAGTGTGTTTGTGATGTAGTTGATCTATGAGCCATGTTAAAGAAGGGTGAAGGAGTGTGGTTGTGATGTAGTTGATCTATGAGCCATGTTAAAGAAGGGTGAAGGAGTGTGGCTGTGATGTAGTTGATCTATGAGCCATGTTAAAGAAGAGTGAAGGAGTGTGCCTGTGATGTAATTGATCTATGAGCCATGGTAAAGAAGGCTGAAGGAGTGTGGTTGTGATGTAATTGATCTATGAGCCATGTTAAAGAAGGGTGAAGGAGTGTGGTTGTGATATAATTGATCTATGATCCATGTTAAAGAAGGGTGAAGGAGTGTGGTTGTGATATAATTGATCTATGATCCATGTTAAAGATGGGTGATGGAGTGTGGCTGTGATGTAATTGATCTATGAGCCATGTTAAAGAAGGGTGAAGGAGTGTGGCTGTGATGTAATTGATCTATGAGCCATGTTAAAGAAGGCTGAAGGAGTGTGGTTCTGATGTAATTGATCTATGAGCCATGTTAAAGAAGGGTGAAGGAGTGTGGTTGTGATATAATTGATCTATGAGCCATGTTAAAGAAGGGTGAAGGAGTGTGGTTGTGATATAATTGATCTATGAGCCATGTTAAAGAAGGGTGATGGAGTGTGGCTGTGATGTAATTGATCTATGAGCCATGTTAAAGAAGGGTGAAGGAGTGTGGCTGTGATGTAATTGATCTATAAGCCATTTTACAACTATTTCTAAAAAAAAAAATACCTCGGTTTCATATTATAATAATTTTAAAGAAAAATATGTTTTTAATTTAAATTAAAAACTTCTAATATGATTTAAATAAGTTTATTATGATCAGATGATTTAAGCCATAATAGTTCTAATGAAAGGTTATATGATATATTATACAATCCTTATAATTACGAAAGTGGGTTCCGTAGGCTCCGTATAGGCCATAAAGGACATTGTAGATACGTGACACTAAACATTAACTCTTGGAAGCAAAAAATCATTGAGGCCGTCATTGCACTTCACCGCTTTCACTTCCTTATCTGGGGAGTTAGGTACCCATTTACAACTGGGTGGACTAGGGTTGATCAGGAATCGAACAAACGAGACTTAAAACTCAACCGACCCCCCCCCCCATGAATTTATAAAAGATTTATCAAGGTTAGGGGTGAGGTAGTTGAGTGGATACAGCACTCGCCTCCTGTACTAAGGGTCGTTGGTTCGCGCCTTTCCAGCTGTGAATAGATACATAAGTTAGAAGCTGGGAGAGTGATAGTGGTCGAGTGTAATGCTAACCATACTGCCTCCTTGTATACTGAAGGTTTACCGTTCTGTGCGCTGTAATCACACTGCCTCTAACGGACCGTCTGTCAGTTCTGTGGGACTCACTTCTAATGAACATTCGTGGTGCTTGTTCTTGTTGGACACTTTGCTGTGATATGTAAAACTACAAACTTCCCTAATGTCAGTTGTTTTATTACGTAGGCGGGACAGATCTAAATGACTGCGTTTTTTTTTGTTGAGTGTTCTGCCTCATTACCAATAAATACTCTGTAACCACTCTTTGATTAAGAAAAATAATAAATGATAAGGATTATTTTTCACATAGCAAGGAATTATTTGCAACATTATTCACTAACTGACCTGGGATGCCCAAAGCAGAGCCTGGGCGTGTAGGCAGCGTTATGTCGGGCATCTTGGAGATATTGGCTAAGTTGGTCATGCTGGAAGAGGGTCTGGCCATGGCGAGGGAGCAACCCATCCTGACGGAGGTGGTGGCGGTTCCGTCCAGCGACGACTGGCGAGCCATCTGTGACCTGCACCGGACCAGAACGTCCACCGCTCAGTCAGTCAGCCAGAGACCATTATTACCTCATAAACTTTAACATTAAAACACTTATTGAAGGAAATCCATGACAATCTCAGTATAGATAATAAAACATGTTTAATTATTAGTTCATATGTTTATAGCTAACGGCAAATCACAACTAAAGACAAAAAAAGTTGTCTGCTGAGATACATTAATTACATTAAGCTGATAGTAGACGATATTTTAAACAAGTTTGGGCCAAGAAGTTAAAGTGGTTCTACAAACTAGTGTGAATGTCAAAGGGATGAACTACCTAATGTTTCTACTACCAAGAGACATTGAGGTTGATCCGTATCCTTCATATTGTACTACTGTATCATACATGTTGATATATGGTAAATCATTGACAAGAAACAAAAAGCATCCAGACAGTGTTGACTAGGGGCAAGAGAGAGCCAACCTGTAGATAAACAGGGAACTTCACGTTTAAACTCAACCGGTGCTCAGTATGAGCCATTTGAATTAAATTTGTGTCCTAATAAAGCCCTCGAAGTTAAAACCCGGTCAGAAAAGTATTACTGTACTTAAATTCATCGTTGTATTAGCTTCTGAAGTGTACCTTCTCTGTACCTCTTTAATTTACTAGTTCTGTGTAGATTTGGGGGAACATTATATATTTTACTAAACAAATATTTCATAAGCCAAATATAAAAGCCTGAAATAAATGCAATAAATTCATGTGGAACAGAGTGTGAAATGTTGCCTTAGATCCTGTAACAGCACATGGTGTCTGATGATGACTTTTCCTCTGAGCACTAACACATGCATGGCACCTTACTGGTATGGCTTACTCTACTTGCAGGTAACTTCTATTTTTTCTGCACTTGCGACAATAGAATGAATCATGTATAGTTTCCCTACAATAAGCAAGTTTGCAGGCGGTCCATTAGTTCAAAGGATGCTACGTTCTCTTAGAGAGTTCATGCATTTAAGTTCATACAGAAAAAAACTAGTTGTCACGGTGCACAAGTGTCGAAATGAGAAACTGAAATTACAATGAAGAATTAACAGATAACATTCTCACACTGTAGCCATTGTACAACGAATAGTTTTCACTGAATATGTTAATAAGTAACAGAAAACTGAGCACTTATGATCTCTGAAAGTGTGAAGGTAGTAGCAAATAATAGAACGGCCTGTAAAGAATGTTAAGAGTGTGATTAACGGCATATTAGATCATATGTAAGGGAATGCATGTTCTTATGTGCCTACATAACGGGATGTTATTATACTCAACTTCAAAGGATTTCATAGTATGCGTTCGCAAGATTTTATTCAAGCTCAGAGAGAGGTTATATGTAGTCTTACAAGTCTTGTGTTCCGCTGCTTCGGGACGCTTACATACACACACACACACTGCTTGTGATAGATATACACTACGTGATAATTATTTTTCACAATTGAATAATCTGAGTAAATTACAGGGGTAATAATTGATGGAAACAAGTTCTCTGTTACTCATGTGTACTTACGAAATTGGAATAAATATGTTATTCTCGAAAGCCGTAAATTATGGACATACTTCACCTGGTGTGTCATTGTTGCTTTGGTGGTCGTTATGTGTGTCAGTCACTGTCCACTGGACGGTGGTTGGAGGAGTTATGTGTGTCAGTCACTGTTCACTGGACGGTGGTCGGAGGAGTTATGTGCGGCAGTTACATTCCACTGGACAGTGGTCGGAGGAGTTATGTGTGTCAGTCACTGTCCACTGGACGGTGGTCGGAGGAGTTATGTGTGTCAGTCACTGTCCACTGGAAGGTGGTCGGAGGAGTTATGTGTGTCAGTCACTGTTCATTGGACGGTGGTCGGAGGAGTTATGTGTGTCAGTCACTGTTCACTGGACGGTGGTCGGAGGAGTTATGTGTGTCAGTCACTGTCCACTGGACGGTGGTCGGAGGAGTTATGTGTGGCAGTCACTGTCCACTGGACGGTGGTCGGAGGAGTTATGTGTGTCAGTCACTGTCCACTAGACGGTGGTCGGAGGAGTTATGTGTGTCAGTCACTGTCCACTGGACGGTGGTCGGAGGAGTTATGTGTGTCAGTCACTGTTCACTGGACGGTGGTCGGAGGAGTTATGTGTGTCAGTCACTGTCCACTGGACGGTGGTCGGAGGAGTTATGTGTGTCAGTTACTGTCCACTGGATGGTGGTCAGAGGAGTTATGTGTGTCAGTTACTGTCCACTGGATGGTGGTCAGAGGAGTTATGTGTGTCAGTCACTGTCCACTGGACGGTGGTCGGAGGAGTTATGTGTGTCAGTTACTGTCCACTGGATGGTGGTCAGAGGAGTTATGTGTGTCAGTCACTGTCCACTGGACGGTGGTCGGAGGAGTTATGTGTGTCAGTCACTGTCCACTGGACGGTGGTCGGAGGAGTTATGTGTGTCAGTCACCGTCCACTGACGGTGGTCGGAGGAGTTATGTGTGCTGGGGTTACTGTCCACTGGACGGGTGGTCGGAGGGAGTTATGTGTGTGTCAGTCACCGTCCACTGGACGGTGGTCGAGGAGTTATGTGTCAGTTACCGTCCACTGGATGGTGGTCAGGAGTGGAGTTAAGTGTGTGTCAGTTACCGTCCACTGATGGTGGCCAGAGTGAGTTATGTGTGTCAGTCACCGTCCACCGGACGGTGGTCGGAGGAGCTATGTGTCAGTTACCGTCCACCGGATGGTGGTCAGAGGAGTTATGTGTGCCGTAAGGTCACTGTCCACTGGACGGTGGTCGGAGGAGTTATGTGTGTCAGTCACCGGGTCCACCGGAGGTGGTCGGAGGAGTTATGTGTGTGTCAGTCAATGTCCACTTCGACGGTGGTCGGAGGAGCGTGTAGTGTCAGTTATTGTCCACTGACGGTCGGAGGAGCTATGTGTGTCAGTCAATGTCCACTGGACGGTGGTCGGAGGAGTTATGTGTGTCAGTTACTTTTCACTGGACGGTGGTCGAGGAGTTATGTGTAACAAGTTATTGTCCACTGACGGTGGTCGAGGAGCTATGTGTGTCAAATACTGTCCACCAGGACGGTGGTCGGAGTTATATGTGTCTGTCACTGTCCACTGGACGGTGGTCGGAGGAGTTATGTGTGTCAGTTATTGTCCACCGGACGGTGGTCGGAGGAGCATGTGTGCCGTCACCGTCCACCAGACGGTGGTCGGAGGAGTTATATGTGTCAGTCACTGTCCACTAGACGGTGGTCGGAGGAGTTATATGTGTCAGTCACTGTCCACTGGACGGTGGTCGGAGGAGTTATGTGTGTCAGTTATTGTCCACTGGACGGTGGTTGGAGGAGTTATATGTGTCAGTCACTGTCCACTAGACGGTGGTCGGAGGAGTTATATGTGTCAGTCACTGTCCACTGGACGGTGGTCGGAGGAGTTATGTGTGTCAGTTACTGTCCACTAGACGGTGGTCGGAGGCGTTATATGTGTCAGTTATTGTCCACTGGACGGTGGTCGGAGGAGTTATGTGTGTCAGTCACTGTCCACTAGACGGTGGTCGGAGGAGAGTTATATGCGTGTCAGTTACGTCCACTGGACGGTGGTCGGAGGAGTTAAGTGTGTCAGTTACTGTCCACTAGATTTGCGGTCGGAGAGTTAAGTGTGTCAGTCATCAACCACTAGACGGTGGTCGGAGGCGTTATATGTGTCAGTTATTGGGTCCACTGACGGTGGTCGGAGGAGTTATGGTGTGTTAAAGTTACTGTCCACCAGGACGGTGGTTGAGGAGCGCGTGTCAGTCACTGTCCACTGGACGGTGGTCGGAGGAGTTATGTGTGTCAGTTACTGTCCACTGGACGGTGGTCGGAGGAGTTATGTGTGTCAGTTACTGTCCACTGGACGGTGGTCGGAGGAGTTATGTGTGTCAGTCACTGTCCACTGGACGGTGGTCGGAGGAGTTATGTGTGTCAGTTACTGTCCACTGGACGGTGGTCGGAGGAGTTATGTGTGTCAGTCACTGTCCACTGGACGGTGGTCGGAGGAGTTATGTGTGTCAGTTACTGTCCACTCAGACGGTGGTCGGAGGAGTTATGTGTGTCAGTTACTGTCCACTGGACGGTGGTCGGAGGCGTTATATGTGTCAGTTATTGTCCACTGGACGGTGGTCGGAGGAGTTATGTGTGTCAGTTACTGTCCACTGGACGGTGGTCGGAGGAGTTATGTGTGTCAGTTACTGTCCACTAGACGGTGGTCGGAGGAGTTATGTGTGTCAGTTACTGTCCACTGGACGGTGGTCGGAGGCGTTATATGTGTCAGTTATTGTCCACTGGACGGTGGTCGGAGGAGTTATGTGTGTCAGTTACTGTCCACTAGACGGTGGTCGGAGGAGTTACAGTTTGTGCGTCAGTTACTGTCTACTGGACGGTGGTTGGAGGAGTTATGTGCGTTAGTTACTGTCCAGTGGACGGTTTCTGTTTTTTTTTAATAAAACTAGCTTGCTTAATATGTTTATTGTTAGACATTGATGATGACGGTTCGGCTCATGTCAGGAATTTACCGTCTGTGTCACCCTGGTGAGAGTTTAGTCAACTCCACTCTATACAGTTGAGATAAGATTTGTTTAAACTTGGTAATTTTTCTACTAATGCTCAACAGTTTTAAAGTAAAGTCTCTGATTCATATTGTTATATTAGTACGATCACTATATGGATGAGATCCTTCTTATAATCAACACCATTGCACCTTCAGGACCAGCAAATCTGATGTCAAGTGATGGGCTTTATCTCATTACAGGTAAGCGTACAGCAGCTGACAACGTCACTGTAAGATCAGGTGATCAACTCTCCTCTCCGACCTTTTGCTATCTTGCTCCCTGCTGCTTGTTGTAAACGTTTCCTCCCTACTATATACAATTGAACACATGATCTCTCCATTATGATAAAATATTGGATGATTTCCATTTATTTCAGTTCACAGTAAAGACTGGTTTATGGTAATGTGGTGGATTCGTTGTATAAATTTTAAAGTTTAATTACGTTGAAATATGTTCATATTGTTCAACGGCTGCCGCTAATAAAGTCAGGGAAAGAAGCTGGAGCGTAATCTTTGAAACTTTGTGATAATGAGGCCTACCAAGTATCACTTAACACGGCTGGAGAAACGCAACACAGACGAAGTGAGACCTAATTGGTGACTTTTGTCTAAACACATTCGTATACTCCTTTGGATTATTATTATTATTATTATTATTATTATTATTATTATTATTATTATTATTATTATTATTATTATTATTATTATTATTATTATTATTATTATGGAGGTCACAACAGGAACGACATCTATTTCAGGGTTCTCTTTTATGATGACGACCTTTTGAGATGAATGTAAGCTGTGGGGGGCTATAATGACATTATTATGAAATACTGACAAACAAGATAAGACTTTTTAAAGCAACTTAGGCTCAAGACACGCGACCATGTGAATCTGAAAGAGTTACACTGAAGACCAATCAACCCATGTTTTTTGTCAACACACAATTTCCATCAATAACATTACCTGATGTACATTGGTTTCATACTTACGATGAGAAAAGAACAGGAAAGCTAAGAGGTTTGCTGATGGGTACTTACGAACTGTAAATGAAAAGACAGAGGTTTGCAAGGAAATTATATACAGTTGGGTATACAAGGAAAACATAGTAACAAATTGATAGACTAAGAAGTCAGTGAGGATATTTTACGAATGAACAACCACTCTGCAGCACTTAATGATCACTTGAGCTCCACCAATGAGTCGACCACTGTGCCTCACCTACTCTATAAGTACCTTGATAAGGTACAGTAATATCACAGGTCGACTGTTAGTGCAGCGCAACGTAATCAATCATGACGCAGGAAGATGTGACGTAAGTGATATACTCTAAGTCTTGAGGATTCTACTCTGGAGCTCACGAGAAGAGTGAGGAATGTGCGAGGACGGAGAGAGGGGGAAGAGGCATCACAGAGAGCTTGTGCTGACAACCACTGACATCAGGACAACAAGCAAGACATAACTGAAAGAACGCTTCACATTTCTCAACCACAAGTTGTTCAAATATAAGTATCTATATACGAAAACATTCGCACTCAAACTAAAGTATATATATATATATATATATATATATATATATATATATATATATATATATATATATATATATATATATATATATATATATATATATATATATATATATATATATATATATATATATATTAGGATAATCACCGATTATTCTTTAAAATGTATCTGTCGTTAGTGCCAATTAGAGAAACTTTTCTTTTTATGTAGCAAATTCCCTGTTTGATTTAAGACGTATTTTTTTCTAAGATAAACAAAATTATTATACCTTGGTAAGTTAGGTTAGTTAGGCTTTAAGTTACCTGAGGTTAGGATATGTGAGACGCCATCCATTTATAACTATTATGGTTATTTACGTATTATTAGTCTATTTTAAGTCAGAAACTTCAAATAAATGAATAAATAGAAGTTTTCACTATTTCCCAATTATTCCTATTTTTCATAACAAATGCCGAAAATGGATAACTTTTTGGTTCTTATCGCTATACCTCAATGGAAATTAAATATTTACTCGTATGGTAAAACTTGCTCTGTTTCATTTAAGGCTTTGTTTACTGCCATAATATAGCAAAATTATACCTAAAGTAGGTTAAGTTATGTTAGGTTAGGTTAGGTTAGGTTAGCTTAGGTTTTGTATGAAACTTTTCATTTATAGGTATGATCAATATGATCGTTTATGACCTATCAGAAGTTTCCAAAAATATAGAAGTACATAAAACTTATCGCTACTCGGCAATAATCGTCTCATATATATATATATATATATATATATATATATATATATATATATATATATATATATATATATATATATATATATATATATATATATATATATATATATATATATATATATATATTTCATGTAGATCCACAATGAAAATGTGGATAAGATAAATCTTGATAAAATTACACGGGAAAAGGGAAACGTCTTGAATAAAGACGAAAACTAAGGTGCTCCGTTGTTTCCTTTTTCCCGTGTGATTTTATCAAGATATATATATATATATATATATATATATATATATATATATATATATATATATATATATAATATATATATATATATATATATATATATATATATATATATATATATATATATATATATATATATATATATATATATATATAATTGTGTGTGTACACACATACATGTACAGGAGCACATCTAGGGGCGCCTGAGCCGGTCACGTCAGTAACACACACAGGTGTGGACCTTCACGTGGGCTTCAGGTGCGACGAAAACGCTTATTTAATGCAAGACGAGACAAGACGTATGACTGATAATAAAGATGGTTTGTTCGTTGATCTTTTATTTAACCTTTAAATAAATATTTTGTATTATGCAAGTAAATCACTGTGGGTGCGCGTGATCCAGTGATATACTCTCCCTGTTTAGCTGCTCTTATCATCCAGTTTAACCCCAAAAATCATCTCTGAAATATTATAAGCGATGGTTAATTAATACTGTATTGCAAGATAGAGTTTGTTGTAAGGATCATTAACACAGGTAAAGTACCTCATGACGTCAGGACCTTCATCATCGCGTCGAGGTCCTACAGTAGTGACGATCTCAACACTGCCGAAATATGACCACAGCGGTGAGTGTAAAGCCCCGTCCACACGATCGAGCAGTGCCCGGTCTGAGTGTTGTTGTACACACGGGGGTGGTTGGCGGCAGTCATAGTCGGGCGCCGGTAGCTAGTAGGTGGTCGACAGTGGCGGGTGCGGTACGATCACCATGGTGTGTCGCAGGAATAATCGCCGGACAGTTAAAGCGAATAGCGTTGTGTACTATAATAATTGCTGCTATGTGCAAAGAGAAGAACCAAATGCAGAAAAGGGAATGGTGAAAAAAGTGTGGTTAGGTCGAAGAAAAGTATTAGGAAGTCATGCCACGATCTTACGTGAACTGCAAGATGGACATGAGCAAGACTTCACCAATTACATGAGAATGGACCCCAACACCTTTTACAAACTCCTAGCGAAAGTGGAACCATATATAAAAAAACAGGATACCAATATGAGGGAGAGTATATCTGCAGAGGCTCGTCTAGAGGCAACGCTCATATATCTCTCAACTGGGCGCACCTACACGTCACTTCAGTATAGAACGAGGATATCAAAACAAAATTTGTCTCCCATAATACCTGCAACTTGTCAAGCCATGTATGAAGTATTCAATGAAGATTACTTGCAGGTGAGATTTGTAGTACATAAAAATTCATTGAATAATGTTAGAATTATGATATGCATAGACAGGAAGCTATGGAACTAGAGTGAGGAGAGCGGCAGGAACGAAGAACACACACGAATGTCCTCATTACATAATACATAAACAATCTCCCGTTTATTGTCACACCAATAATGTACATTGCGTAAGCTTATTTGGTTATACACTGGACATCTGTACCGAGCGGGGAACATATACGTATCACATTTGCAGTACTTAACTCAGGTTTTACAAAGTGCTAGCTTACATTCTGTCAGTATCTCTGTTCACACCTCACCGACTTGAGGACCCCGACCCCCGAGGTCAGCGGTGGCGTAGTGATGAGCTGCTTTTGACAGTCACCTGAGGTTCCAATAATAACACGTGGCTTGTATTGCAGGCTTGTGTAATGCTGAATTCTAATGACAATATTATAGGAATCTCAGTTTACCGGTTTTATCGATTGTCTGGCAGAGTCGTCGTTCCATATCCGGCAGCAAACCACCAGGCAGGCGGACCATGATTTCGCTCAACGACAGGCACGTGCAATCCGCTGGTTTGCCTTCCAATTTTGCCCGATAACGGGCATTTAGCGCGTGCCCGCCGGGCACTGCTCGATCGTGTGGACGGGCCTTAAACCTTGAGTATATAGTGAACCTTTGGATGATGATGTTATTATTATCACTTGTTAACTAAAGTGGTTTATGGTGTTATTAACTACGATTATCCTAGTGTGGTGTGGGAGGGAGAGTGGTGTGGTGTGGGAGGGAGAGTGATAGAGGGATAGGTGGAACAGAGAAGAGGCGATGGAAATATAGGTAGGGACTGGGAGAGAGAGAGAGCCGAGACGTGTACTGGCCGGAGAACAAGGCTATGAGCGGCAGGCTTTATATATCTGTTAATGAATAACACTTAACTGACCAGGTGACCGTGAGGTCGTTGAATCAGGATCTGTGGACGAAATGGTGAAATTTTGATATTTGTGCTAATTACTTGGACGACACTTGAATATCGGAATTCCATCTTTTTGGCCACGGATCCTCAATCTACACGTCGAGGACGACCTACACTAATATTTTAACCAAAACTTAGACACAGAAAATTATGAAATTAATTATCAAAATTGAAGGGCGGTGTGGAGGGGGGGCGGGGGGCAGGGAGGGAAGGATTGGTGAAGAAAGAGGGAGGGTGACATAGTTGATTCTACACCAGATGTCAAAAGTTCACTCCTTCCCAGACTGAAGCAATATTGACCCCAAGTGAGCCAAAACAACACACCTGCGCCACACGACTCAGGGTAAGTGAGTTCTGAGTCTCGTTCCCGTGA